GCATCATCATCAGCATCATCATCGTCATCATCGTCGTCACCGTCATCATCATCGTCATCACCAACAGTAGAATCAGCATCAGCATCAGAATCAGCAACTCATCACCATCAGCATCATCAAGATCATCGGCAGCTTCATCGTCAACATCATCATCATCATCATCATCATCATCATCATCATCATAATCATCATCATCATCATCATCATCATCATCATCACCCGCGTCAGCACCGTCAACATCATCGTCTGCAGCCATCATCGTAAGCATCATCAACAGTAGGATCATCAACAGCATCATCATCAGCAGCAGCACCATCGTCATCATCATCAGCAGCATCAGCACAAGCGTAAGCAGCATCAGCATCATCAGCATCAGCAGCATCGTCATCGTCATCAGCAGCATCATCAACATCATCATCAGCATCAGCCTCAGCATAATCATAATCATAATCATAATCATAACCATCATCATCATCAGCATCATCATCAACAACATCATCATCATGAGCATCATCATCAGCATCATCGTCATCATCGTCGTCACCATCCTCATCGTCGTCATCACCAACAGTAGCATCAGCATCAGCATCAGAAGCATCTCATCACCATCATCATCAAGAGCATAAGCATCATCATCATCATCATCATCATCATCATCATCATCATCATCATCCGTTTCAGCACCATCAACATCATCGTCTGCAGCCATCATCGTCATCATCCTCAACAGTAGCATCCGCATCATCATCATCATCATCATCATCATCATCATCATCATCATCATAATCATCATCATCATCATCTTCATCTTCATATTCATCATCATCATCAGCAGCAGCATCAGCATTAGACTCATAATCATCAGATGATTCATCATCATCAGCAGCATCATCATCAGCATCAGCATCAGCATCAGCATCAGCATCATCATCATCATCATCATCATCATCATCATCATCATCCTTTCCTTATCCTCATCCTCATCCCGACATATCCTCATCAATCCTCGTCATTATTCCCGGTATTACCATCCTTGTTCGTTGATGCTGCTGCTGCTGCTGCTGCTGCTGCTGCTCCCCCCTACATCTATACACTATAGCGTATCACGACTGATACTACGATTACTAGAATGCGCGAAGCCATAATATCGAGGCGAAAGCCATGCGGGTCGGGGCCAGGTAATATTCAGCCTGTGGTGGTGCTTCGACGCGCTCGGCATCCGTTCAGAGGCGGAACACAAGCTAAAGAGGCAGTTTAGGCGGCAGAATCAACCCTCCCTCCCTCCCTCCATCCATCCATCCCTGCTCCCTCCCCTTCCTCACCCAACCCCTCCACATCCCCCCTCCCCCCGTCCACCCGACGGCGACGACAACGACCACAACCCACCCACCGCGACGACGACAACGACGACGACGACGACGTCGACGACGACGACGGCCACGACCACGATCACGACCACGACCACGAGCACGATGACGGCGACGACGACGGGGGTAGGGGCGGTGTCCTGAACACGCATGGCTCGCCAGCGAGCCCGAGCCAGCTGCGCGCCTCCTCTGGGAGCAGCCCGTCGCCCGGACCTGATGGTTGCCGAACAGGTAGAATACCGCTGATTTGAACAGAAGGAATGCGGGAGCGAAGGGCGCTGGGACACAAGGCGCACAAGGGGCTTTGTGCAAGGGGACCGTATCTGTCGTGTGGATCGTTCCCTCAGCTTCCTACATAGGCACGCGGGCGCTGATACGATCCCAACGGCACCCACGACGGCCCCGCAAAAAGCGCAAAGTGTCTCCCGCAAAACAACTACAAAAAACCCAAGACGCGCGCGACTGTTCTTCCTAGCGCAGGCAGTGGCAACGCGGCCCGGAAGCGCGCGCTGCGTTTCGCATGTGGTTCAAACATGCGACGATGGGCCACCGCAAGGCCCCGCGTGATGACAGAATGTGGGGCACGGAAGCGCGCCTGCAACGTGGAGCGCAGCCTGCTGGCAATCGCGCAGTCTGAAGGAGAAACAAAAATGAGGGAAAGAGAAAGAGGAGTTTGGCGGCGCGCAGAAGGGGGGCAGGGAGAGGGGGGGAGGCTTCTTAGAAGGAGGCTCTTTCTTAAAGGAGTTGGCCTTTGAGGCCGGCGCCTTCTGAGAAGCAGGGGTGTTCCTGAGAAGCCTTCCCCCTTCCCCCATACCCCCCTCTGCGCGTGCCCGAAGAGCGGGACACGCGGAATGGCAGTTCTCCGAACAGCGCGTGCACTGGGCGTTGTTGCCCCGAGCCCATCAGCTACTTGGATAGCGCGCGGGTGCGAACGGCGTTCCTGATGGTGCCCCGCTGGCGGCCGGCTGCGGGCGCCACGCGGGCGCGCCGGGCTTCCGCCCGGCGCCTGACCTCGGCCCCGCCTCGCGGGCCCGCCTGGCGGGCGCCCCGCGCGCTGCGCGCGCCACCTAGCTCGCATCGCACAACCGGCAGCACGCCGACTGCATCACATTAAGTGTTGCACACAGCTTGCGACACATGGTTCGCCGAAGGGCCCACAGAAAGGCCCCCGGGAGCCTTCGAGAGGCCCCCGAAAGGCGGCCCCAAGACGTCAGGAAACCCCCCAAAAAGCAGAACTGCACACAGGCAGGACGACGGGAAGCGGCAAACAACACATGAAAATCTGAAAACTCACACTGGTGTTTTCCCATGGGCCCATCGGAATGGCGTAAGCCGCTCGCACACACGTGGTCGCTCGCTGACAGTATCAAGCACGGGCGCCGCTGCGGCCACGGACATAGCCGCACGTCCATGGATGCCCAGCCGGAGCCGCGACCCGAAGCGCCGGCGGAGGTGGGGTCCCGGAATGGAAGGAGGGGAAGAAAACACGGAGCGGCAGGGGAGGGGGGAAGGGGAGAGGGCGAGGACGGGCGGGAAACGGGAGAGAAAGCAGGGAGGAGGAATACGCACACCGTCATCCGCACAAGGAGGGAGGAGGGAAGCAGGAGGGAGAAGGAAAAAAGGAGGAGTGAGGAAGAACGTTGAGGAAGGAATTCGGGTAAGGAGGGGAAAGGATGCCGCCGCGCCATCACTCCTGACGCCACCACGCAGCGGGCTTCCAGACTGGCCGCCCGCACCGCCGGCTGTTGGGCGAGCCCTTGTGGGCAACCGGTTGGCAGCCACGGTAGCCGAACATGGGCGGGGACGGCCCGCGGGGAAGATCAGCATCGTCTGCATTTCCACCACCACCATCTTCATAAGCATCATCATCAGCATCATAATCACCACCATTATCACGGGCACCAGCATCAGCACCATCAGCACCGCCACAACCACCACCATCACCACAATCATCAACACCATCATCATCGTCATCATCATTATCATCAAGATCATGGCCACCATCACGATCATCATCACCGTCAAAACATCAACAGCATGGTCACCGCCGCCACCATCGTCATCATCGTCATCATCATCAGTATCATCGTCATCGCCATCACGATCGGGGTATCGTCACAGCCACTTTTGTCAATCAACACCACCACGACCACAATTTTTTCACCGACGTCATCGTATTCGTGCTCGCGTTCGTCATCGCCGTCGTCGCCGCCGTCGTCAGCATCATCAACAGCAGCATTACCGTTGTCAGCATCATCAGTTACCGTCGTAACCTTCTTGCTCACAACAAATACGGTAATAGACGCCATCATCATCACGTCACCACCATCGCCATAATCAACATCTCCATCACCATCGTCAGCATCGCCATCATTGACACGAATATCATCACAATCGCCAATATCACAACCATCATCGCCCTCGCATTCGTGATCGTCACCGCCGGCAATCGTCATCATCATCATCATCAGCATCATCATCATCATCACCACCACCACCACCACCATCATCATCATCATCATCATCATCATCATCATCATCATCATCATCATCATCGTCATCATCATCATCATCATCATCATCGCCATGACCATCGTCATGGTCATCATCACTATCGTCGACATCGCCCTCACCCTCATCGCACCCTATTCTCCCGCAACGGCGCTGGCGATCAGTCTCCGGGCGGCCGCCGAGGACCGCGCGCGCGGGGAGGCCAGAAAACGACGGGCCCGCCGAGCGCGAGCGGGCCATACGGTGCTGCTCAGGTGAAGTCCACCCGCTCGCTGAAGGACGATTGCAGCCAACCCTTGTACCCCCGCCCTACCCCGCATCATCCTGGGATCCACCCCAGTCAGTTCTCGAGCCGCGCCCAGGTGCGGAGACGAGGCGGGCCCCACAAGGCAAACGAAAAAGAAGGGGGACAAAAAAAGCAGCAACAACAACAACAACAACAGCAGCAACAACCACAACAACCACATCAACAACAACTACAAAAATCATGTTAAGAATGATTGCTCTGATCTGCTCGCGTGCCATGCAACACGTACATCCCAAACCCTCGAAACCCGCCTTCTTCGTTTTCGATCGTACCCCCGAGGGGTAAACCTTTCTTACCAGCAACATGTACTTCGTTCAGCCCCTAAGGCAGGGGAAGAGAGGACGGATGAAAGGAAGGGACAGGGGGCAGTCGGGTTGCTGAAGCGTGCGTCCTGCATGAATGGTGAGGAAGTCTCGAGCTATAGCGCGATTCCCAAATAAATCGTGAGCAAATCCAGAGAGCGTGATTCCTGAGTGTCGAGGGCGCGGCGTCTGACTAAATTGCGAGAGCGTCCCACGCGAAGCGCGATTCCTGCATCACTTGTGAGGAAGTCCCGCGCGAGAGCGCGATTTTGGAATACATTGTGAGGAAATATCAGGCGGGAGTCGTTGTTGTTGCAAACCGGGGGCCAACAACACAGTTTGGTGACCCCTCACTATCCCTTGAAAAAAACGGGTGCGAGCCCCGGGAGAAGCACTGTAATTGAAAAATGCAATGGTTACCGCGCAGGGGGATCAACAATAATGATCTTTAGAATAAAGAACTCAATAATCAATTTAAGAGTGTTCACTCTTACCTGCTCGCGTGCCGCTCAGCACTTATATCCCAAACTCTCGCTACCCGCCATATTCTCCTTCGATCGTACCCCCTCTGGGGTATATAGATTCCTTACCTGTCGCGCGTAACTGGTGCAGCCCCTGGAACAGGGGAAGAGAGGACGGATCGAAGGGGGAGAGAGAACGATGGAGCACGGGATAGCAGGACAGGGGGCTAGGAGCAGAAAACACGTGGCAAAACCTCACGGGCCCATCCAGCGGGTCGACCCTGACGGGCGGGTCGGGAAGGCGGGCCCAAGCGGCCAGGTCGAGAAGGCGTGTTGCTGAAGCGTGGGACTGCATGAATCGCGAGGAAAGCTCGAGCGACAGCGCGATGATCAAGAAAAACGCGAGAAAGGCCGAAGCGACAGCGTGATTCGTGAGTGTCGAGGACGCGGCGCCTGAATAAATAGCGAAGGCTTCCAACGCGAGAGCGCGATTCCTGCATAACTTGCGAAGGAATCCCGCGCGAGAGCGCCATTCAGTAATAAATTGTGGGCAAATATCGGGCGGGAGCCGTTGCTGTTGTGGTTCGGGTCCCAACAACCCAGTTTGGTGACACCAAGGTTTCCCTTATAGAAAAAACCGGGTGCGAGCCCCGAGGGGGCTACTTGATTTGAAAAATTACCAGGGTTACCAGAGGGGAAATCAACAACAATTGCTACTTTGAAATGAGAGCCCAATAACGGCAACAACAACAACAACAACAACAACAACAACAACAACAACAACAACAACAATTACTAGCACGTGGGGACACTCCGTTCTCACCAGTGCCAGGGTTTTCATAGGAGGCGGGCAATACCCCCACTTTGTGGGGGGGCCGGTTCAAGCTCTACCAAATTTCCAAACGACTCTTCGCCACCACCCACACCCAGCTTCCCGCCCTATGACGTTCGGACACTTCACTTCGTGGCATGCGGACGACCGTGGCTACTATTCAGGGCCCCGCGGCCGACGACGACGGCGTGCGCGCGCGAAGAAAAAACGAATGTGTCCCGCATGGTATTATTTGACAGGGATGATGGCCCTGGCAGGTGCGCAACCGTTGTTGCAGAAGTTCGAAAAAGTTGCTCGCAAAAGCCCGTTTGACAGAAATGTTTAAAAAGTGTTGGGTTTCCTACGAATCCGCAAGAGCGCGCGGGATGAGATTTTGACAATTTTTTGTTGAAAAACCATTGGTTTTTTGATGTTTTTATGTTAAAATCGCTGCGAACACTAAGGTTTTGGAAGGATTTCGTCTTGCGCGCGCGAATGTCCACTTTACCTTATTTTTTGCAAGGGATTCTTGAAATTTGATTATATTAGAACAAGAAATGTCATTTTCTATTGTTTTTTGCAAGGGAAAGCGGATTACAACAAAACAACCGGATCCTGTACACACCCTCTTTTCTGAGGCTTCCTCACGAAAATGATGAAAATGTAGCTGCGGCCTAGGCGGCGCAGGGGGGGCGCGCACCAGGGGGCCCAACAATAATTATTCTTTAGAATAATAATGTTCAACAACAACCACAATCATTTTAAGACTGTTCGCCCTTATATGCTCGAGTGCCCAATAACGCGTATTTCCCAAACCCTCGATACCCGCCCTCTTCGTCTTCGATCGAACCCCTTTTGGGGGGTCTACCTTTCTTCCCTGCAGGCCGGGCCCCGGCAAGCGGCGGGGCGGCCGCGGACCGTCGGCCTGGCCAGCGGCAGCGCTGATCGGCGGGGCGGCCGCGGACCGTCGACCCGACCCCAAGAGGGACGGACAGGGGACCGACCACGACGACGACGACGACGACGACGACGACGACGTCGAAGACGACGGCAACGACGGCGACGACGAGCGAAAGCGAGAGCGAGAGAGAACGACAGCAGGGCCACGAAGGGCACGAAGTAGGCCACGAAGGGCGACAGCGGGGACAAGAAAGGAATGCGTATGGGGCCACGAAGAGTGCCAACGAGCGGGGGCCACGAAGTGCAGATAATGCGGGGCCACAGAAGGCAACTATGGGGCCACTGAGGGTAGTAACTGGGCCACGTAGGACAATGAGGGGACACAAATGGCGACAGCGGGGCCACGAAGGGCATACACATGGGGCCACAACGGGCGCGACTCCTGGGTGCCTGGGTGTCGGGAGCGCGGCGCTTGGGCAAATTGCAGGAAATTCCAACGCAAGGCTATTCTTCAGTAAGTTGCAAGCAAGTCTCCAGCGACAGCGCGACTCCAGAGCTCCAGGAGAGCGATTCCTGAATAAATTGTACGGAAGTCCCAAGCGAGAGCGCGATTCCTGGATAAAATGCGAGGAAGTCTCGGGCGGGAGCGGGGGTCCTGCCTAAATTGTAAGGACGTCTCAGGCGGGAGCCGTTGTTGTTGTAACCCGGGGGCCAGGGGGCCAGTTCGAGCAGGAAGACTTGAGATCAACAATAATTATTCTTCAGAAATGAGAATTCAACAGCAGCAGCATCAGCAACAACAACAACAACAACAACAACAACAACAACAACAACAGCAACAACAGCAAAAGCAACAGCAACAACAACAACAACAACAACAACAACAACAACGACAACGACAACGACAACGACAACAACAACAACAACAACAACAACAACAACAACAGCAACAACAACAACAACAACAACAACAACAATCACAACAACAACCACAATCACCATCACAACCACAACCACAACAAAAAAAACAACAACAACCACAACAACAACCACAACCACAACATCAACAACAACAAAGCATAAACCACACACACGAACACTTTGTTTGGCGTCGCAGCCCTGCGCGCGGTGACAGGGCGTAGAAGAGAGAGAGAGAGAGAGACACACACACACACCAAAAAAACAGAAAAAAACATGAGAAACAATACAAAAAGGATGCCCTATCCTCGCAGTCTTCCTCATCCTCCTCTTCATCTTCTTCCTCTTCCTCCTCCTCCTCCCACCGATGAGGAGGTCCCTCATCTACCAATCATTGGAAATGCAGAACTGATTGGAGTCCAATCGGGACGGGGCGGAGGCGAAGGCGGAGGAGGAAAGGGTGAAGAGGAGGAAAAGGGGGAGTGAGGAGGGAGGAAGGATCCGAGCATCCCCTCCTTCTCATCCCCGTCCTCCTCTTACTCCCCCTTCTCCTCCTCCTCCTCCTCCTCCTGCTCCTCCTCCTCCTCCTCCTCCTCCTCTACACCCTTCTGTCATCCTCCTCATCCTCATCCTCATTGTCCCCAGCCTCCTGCTCCCACCACGGGGGAAGATGCACGGTAGCCGAGGCGCCGACACCTGTCCTTGTACCACCACACCGGCCGCCCACTCGAGTACCTGTGCGACGCGCGAAAAGAAGGACAACGGACGACGACAATGACGACGACGACGACGACGACGACGACAGGCGACGACAACGACGTACGACGACGTACGACAGACAACGGGGGACGACAACAACGGACGACGACGACGACGACGGACGACGACGACGACGACAACGACGGACGACGACGACGACGACGACGACGACGACGACGACGACGACGACGACAACGACGGGCGACGACGACGACGACGATGACGGACGACGCACAACGGGGGACGACGACGACGACGACGACGACGACGACGACGACGACGACGACGACGACGACGAAGACGACGGGCGGCGGCGGCGGCGGCGACGCCGACGACGACGACGACGACCGTGACTCGGGTGTTGCCAGAGGAGCCCCTGGCCCAAAAGTGTTCCAAAGAGGCCCCGACGGCCTCCAGGGCACCCCTCACAAGGCCCAGGGGGGCCTGCGGTGCTCCAAAATGCAGCGACAATCTGGGAGCACCCTGGGATGGGGGAACCCTTAGCAGCCCCCGAAGCTGCCTCCTCCTCCTCCTCCTCCCCTCCTCCTCCCCCTCCTCCTCCTTCTCCTCTTCCTCCTCCCCATCCCTTCTCCCCATCCATCCATTCCTTTCCTTATAAATAATTTCACCCTGTCGCACCCCGGGCGTTTCGCCTGAGACTTCCTCACCGCTTACGACCTTAAAGCCTACAAAATGGCAACAGATTCACACATGGAGGGCGGGTAGTTTTCAAAATGTCGCTCTCGTCTTAGCGCCGCGCACATTCGTCCACAAAATTGCTAGAGCTTCATGGATTGAGGGAGGGTGTTTTTCAAAATGTCGCTCTCGCCTTAGCGCCGCGCACATTCGTTTCCAAAGTCTGCAAGAGCTTCACGGATTGAGGGCGGGTGGTTTTCAAAATGTAGTTCTCGCTTGGCGCCGCGCACATTTGTTTTCAAAATGTGCAAGAGTTCTACGGATTGAAAGTGGGTGGTTCTCGAGATGTTGCTCTCGCCTCAGCGCCGCGCACATTTGTATTCAAAATGTGCAACAAGAGTTCTACGGATTGAAAGCGGGTGGTTTTCGAGATGTTGTTCTCGCCTTAGCGCCGCGCAAATTCGTTTTCAAACTGTCCAAGAGCTTCACGGATTGAGGGCGGTTAGTTTTCAAACGGTGGCTCTCGCCCTAGCGCCGCGCACTTTAAATTCAAAGTTGCAAGAGTTTCACTGGTTCCCATGATCAACATACCAGAATGGTGTGTGGGAAAGATTCAGGACAATGCGGGTGCAACAGTTATGTTGATTCGCGGTGTCGAAGTCCCAAAAATGGCACGATTCCGGATCGTCAAGACGCAGCAGTCAGATTGATCCGTGGCGTTGAAATCCAGAGAACAATGTCTTGGCATGCTTCAGGGGCTTCAAACGGTCGTCTTCCAACGAGGCAGTTCCCTCAATGGAAATGAACCGTTGTAGGGGCCTATGAAGAGGGAGCTTGGAGGGAGGGTTACTTCCAACATCGTTGATGACTCTTGGGTTTACACTGGTCCTCCCCCTCCTCCTCTACCTCCTCCTCATCCTCCTCCATCCTTCTCATCCTCTTCCCCGATCCTCCCATTCCGCCGACGAACAGATCCGCATGGACCAGAAAACAAACGACACCACCCCACCTACGGCCCCACGGGCCTCAGCGTATACCAAAAGATCTGGCGTGGGCTTTTGCGTGGTATACGCTACGGCCCCCAGTGGTCCTTAGCGCATCATAGAGGGCCGTAAGTGAGGTGGTGTCGTTTGCTTTTTGATCGACCGTGTCCGCGCCCTCGTGGTCTGGACTCTGCGGCGCGGTTCAGCGGGCACGCTGTCGGACGGAGGCGCTCCGCGATGGGCGTTCCGAGACAAACGCCCCGCATCCGCGGGGTCGCGGCCAAAGGGCCCGACCCGCGAGGCCGCGGATACGGACATGCTCTCCGCCCACGAGATAAGCGGGAACAGCTCCGGGGGGGGAACCATCGAGCTGGAATCGGCGATACATTGCCGATGAGTCGGCGATAGTCACCCGATTACGAAACCGCATGTTCCTATGCACATTCAGACCATCGGGCCCCTATCGGCGCTTGTCGGCGATGAACGGGCGATTGGGGGTCGGGAATCCCCCCCCCCTCCTCAGCCTAACCCCCCCTAACGTTGCCCCTCATTCCCTCGTGGCGAAGATGGAGGAACAACAAGCGACATCAACATAGATTCTCGGAGGTCCGCGCGGATGTCTTGGCCCTGCGCTGCGCCCCCTTCCCCAGGCGCGCGGAGCGCGCCAGCCAGGGAGGGCCCAGCGAGACCCAAGAGATCCGCGCGGACCTCCAAGAGAAGGTATGGTCAAGAGTTCTTCGAGAAGTCCAGGTTCCCAAAACGGGCCTGGAGGCCGACTTTGGGGGGACAGAGGGACAATGAGCCCACTGAAGGCAAACATTCTGACGGAAGTCAAACATCTCCACTCAAGGCACCAAAAACTAGGGGCCAAAATGGATGCCTTGAGACATGCTTGCCTTTAGAATCGGCGCGGCAAGGCCGCCAAGGCCTCTCTTGCAGACCACCCGACACGCGCAACCCTGCCTCGAAGGCAAGGGCGCGCCCGCGCCCGATCGAAGGGGCGCCGCCGCGCGAGGAGCGCGGGCGCGGGGAGGATTGAGGAGAAAGGATCGGCAGTCCACGGAGGCTTCTCGATGAGAAGACAGCCGGGGGGTGAAGCATATGTAACTCCAGCCCTTGGGAAGGAGGGAGGAGAGAGGAGATGAGAGCTAGACCATGTACCTTTGAGCGGTAGCAGGAAAACACGGGGCGATGGCAGCTGGCATATGCAGGTATATCAAGGTCAGGGTTGTGGAGGTGCGTTGGCGCACCTCCCTACGGCCGTCTTCGTTGGCCAAGGGACCGTCGGGAAGGCCTCGGCCCCGACCAGTGACAATTGACGCCGCCATGAAAGAATGCAATGAACGCCGTCATGACTCCCCAATCAGAAAAGAGCTTGCCCCTGTAGGTAGGGGTCCTAGCGGATTCATGCCGTCAGGTGAGGTGCGAAGCCGATTTCGGTGACCAGCCCAGGTGCCCGACCGGGTGCCCGGGTGCCAGGGTGCCCGGGTGCCCAGGTGCCCGGCTGGACCCACCAGCAGCCCTCGAAAGTGGCGAGCCCACCAGCAGCCCTCGAAAGTGGCGACAGTTTCGCAGATCGCAGCCCCCCAGGGAAGGGGAGGTCCCGCTCAGATCCGCGCGGTGCCTCACTCCGCTGGACCCACCAGCAGCCCTCGAAAGTGGCGACAATTTCGCAGATCGCAGCCCCCCCCCCAGGGACGGCGAGGTCCCGGGGAGCAGGAGGCGAGAAAGCGGCGAGAGGCAGGAGGCGGGAGGAGGAGGGAGACGCGACCGCGGTGCTCTATTCATTACGAATACCCAACCAAGGAGGAGGGTTGGGATAAAATATCCAAAAATAGTCGAAAATAATAATAATACTTATAATAATATGTTTATACATTTAAAAAACAAAACAAAAACAAAAAAAAAAAACACACAAAAAAAAGTCCCCAGGCTATTTTTGAAATTTTGTTTGGATATTCCCCCTGTAGAGGGACATGCCCGATTTAATGATAGGTTGTTCGGGACGAGCCCAAAGCCAGCTGGTCCAAGCTCTGTCAGAATCAGTGACTCCAGGGCTCGACTCGTCGACTCGTCGACACATGGTGACGAAGTTCTGGTTGACTCCTCACCCCGAGCCTTCACCCAGGCGAGGTCGGCCTCACCGAGGCGGCGGAGGGAAAGGGGACGAGGAAGGAGACGAGCGCTGGAGCGTTGGTCTGTCCTTTGGCGACAAGTGGGCCTCACCCGGAAGGGGGGGGAGAGGGGGGCCGTAGCCACTCCCAGACGGCGCCAGCGGGGATCGTAACGCTACTGGGGGGGGGGCTGCGCCAGCAGCGGACGTTATCGCGAACAGCTCAAACCGAGCTCATACGTGGTCGTATGCAACACAGTTGGTCACCAGCATCAAGCCATCGCCACTGCCCGACGTCGAGCGTGAGCGCGAGTGCGAGAGCGCGCGGGGCTCTGTGCGCGCATCGCGTACATACCGTTGCGGCTGGCTCAGGCGCATCCGCGCTGAGACTTTGCGATCGGAAAGGTGATGTGTATGCTGTCTGGACCGCCTGCTGACCGGCGTCTGACTGTACACCCAGCGCCCGCGGACACAAAGGTATGTTTGTCTGGTTACAGAGACCTTTGTTTGTGGGGCGTGCCGCTGCCTCGCAAGAGATGCTAAACAACCATTTGCAGAATCCCACTTCGCCAGCAGCTTCTGTTGAGTTAGCCTGTTGAGGGCGGAGGGTAGAGGGCTGCCGAAGGCAGCGAGCCTACGGATTTCCAACACAAAACAAGGATTGAAACCTTGACGCAAAAACTCAGACATCGCTTCTCCGGATGTGTAGCATCTGGCCTTGGTGCTTCAACTGTGGGAGCAGGTCCGAATGAAATTGCAACGGCAATGGGTACAGCACCAAATGCAAATGTGACACCGCGGGTTCGTGTCGTGCCGACCCCAGCGTTGGTTCCTGACACCGCGAGGATCGTTCAACCTTGAACGAACGGCCGTTCCCGAAACGTCGGATTGTTCAACTTCGACCGATTCTGGGTCGCAAACGGCGCTCAAGGTTGAACACCGCCGAAAACGGTTCACGGTCCAAGGTGCCCATGAGTGATGGAGCTGCCCGCCCCCTGGGACGTGGTCCGGCGAGAAGGCAACGCCAGGAATCAGAATGGATGCACACCGGCTTAAGCCAACTTTTGGCGACACCTTCCTCGATTCGAGAGGCTAGTGGGTGAGCCTCACTGGAGCCTCTGTGAACCTTTGCGGCCCTATCATACACGCGTCTTCGACCAGATCTCGTCAAGATATCGACCACTGCTCTTCACTCTTTCGTCTAGATGTCGTCCAAATTTCGACCACCCCCTTCACCCTTTCGTCCAGATGTCGTCCAAATGTCGTCAGATTTCGTCCAAACGTCGACCAAATCCGACGAAACCTGGACGACCCCCCCCAAACCGCAAGGAGTTCTGGGACCCTCTCAGGCTCCCATGAAGGACCACACTAATGCTCCTCTGAAACCACCGCTCGCAAACGGCAGAAGTGGCGCGCACTGCGCGGCAAGGAGGCTAGGGGACTGGAGGTGGAGAACTGGAGAAAGCCCACGGAATGCTTCTGCGCAAGAACGAATAAGAAAGAGCGTGTTCTACCGCTGCTGGCGGAAAACTGGGGGGGTCACTACTGGTTCGAACCCCTCCCCCCCCCTCCGGAAAACCGGGAGGGGTCACTACCGGTTCGAACCCCCCCCCCACCCCCCAGTCCATCATGAAAAGAGGGGGGGTCACTACCGGTTCGAACCCCCCCACCCCTCGAAAACCGGGGGGGTCACTATCGGCTCGAACCCCCCCTCCCGCCTCGAAAACCGAGGGGGGGTGCGGACAGTGGTGGGGACGGTGGTGGTGGGGACAGTGGTGAGGGGACAGCGGGACAGTGGTGGGGACAGTGGGACAGTGGTGGGGACGGTAGTGGTAGGGACAGTGGTGAGGACAATGGTGGGAGCAGTGGGGACAGGACAGTGGGAATGTGGTGGAAACAGTGGGACAGTGGAGGGTACAGTGGTGGTGGGGACAGTGGTGAAGGCGGTGGCGAGGACGGCGGTGGGACAATGGGACAGAGGTACAGTGGGGACAGTGGTGGGGACAGTGGGGACAGTGGTGGGAACAGTGGGACAGCTCAGTGGGACAGCGGAGGAGTCAGTGGGACAGTGGGGACAGTGGGGATAGTCGGGCAGTGGTTGGGGCCGTGGAGAAAGTGGGGACAGTGGAATCGTGGTGGGAACAGTGGTGGGGACAGTGGGGACAGTGCGACAGTGGTGGGGGTACTGGTGGGGACAGTAGGGACGGTGGTGGAACCAGTGGGGACAGTGGTGGTGAGGACAGTGGTGCTGGGAACAACAGTGGGGGATGTGGTGCGGACGGTGGTAGGGACCGGGAGTCGTTTGCTGGCGGTGAGTGGGGGGGGTGGGGAGGGGTTCGAACCGGTAGTGACCCCCCTCTGGTTTTCGAGGGGGGGGGTTCGAACCGGTGACCCCCCCGGTTTTCGAGGGGGGGACCCCCGGGTTCCAGAGGACGAGGGGGGGAATTTTCCACTGTAAAGCGGCGATGGATCACGCTCTCTCGAATAAAAACGCAGCACACAAACTCTCAAAGTCCACACGGACTTGTGAATCGGCCATACGCAAGAGTAACCCTAGGCAAGAGTGGCATTTCGTGTGCGGCCGGAGAGGGCCCTTTAGGGACACCACCAGGCGCGCAAGCCGCTGCTATCGCATCGCATTCAGCGATCGGGGGGGGCCCTATTGGGCCCTCACCAAAGGTCACTTCGGTGAAACGTCACTCTTAAGTGTCGTCGAGTGAACTCGGTGCTGGACCCCACTCCCCGGCGCGCGAAAGGCACCAAAAAAGCCGCCAGAGGCGCCGCCCGAGGAAAAATCGGCGCGGACCTCCAGCGGTAACGTTTAGGCCACCGTGCCTTGTTCGAGCTTACGCGGACTGGGCACCCGTCGACAAGGCGCGGACCTGCCGCAGGTTGCGTGGGCCACCTGTCTGGACACCCCTGCGCGGGCCCCAGAATGGCATGAGGAGGATAAATTCGGATCGGTTCGGCTCTCATGAGGAACACCAAGCATGGAAGACTCAACACGGGGGGGATGGGCGGCCAGACTCAGTAGAGTCCGACGGACCAGCAGGAGGGGGAGGAGGCAGGAAGAGGGCAGAATGAGAAGGGAAGAGGAGGACAAGGAGGGAGAAGGAGGAGGGAGGAGGAGCAGGAGGAGGGGGGGAGGAGGGGAGGAGGAGGAGGAGGAAGGAGGAGGAGGAGGAGAAGGAGGAGGAGGGGAGAAGGAGGAGGGAGGGAGCAGGGAGGGGGAGGAGGAAGAGGACGAGGAGGAGGAGGAGGAGCGAGGGTGAAGGAGAAGAAAGAAACAGGAGGAGAAGGAAGAGGGACGGCGGAGGGGGAGGGAGGAGGGAGGAGGAAGGAGGGGGAGGAGAGGAGGAGGAGGAGGAGGAGGGAGGAGGAGGAGGAGGCGGAGGAAGAGGAGGAGGAGGAGGAGGAGGGGGAGGAGGAGGGGGAGGAGGAGGAGCAGGGAGGAGGACGACGACGACGCAGAGGGAGGAGGAGGACGAGGGAATCGTGGAGAAAGACGCGAGAGGAAGAGCAGGAGGTGGAGGAGGAGGAGGAGGAGGAGGAGGAGGAGGAAGCGAGCCCCGCTCAAAGTCTGCCTAGGCGCAAAATGGAAAGGAGGAGGCCGCAGAGGGCGCGAACGGATGCTCTCCGAGGTCCAGGCGGCGCCGCGCCACGGGGCACCCTTGAGGAGGAGTCGGGCTGCGAGCCCAGAGGGCCTGGGATCGCCGAGGAGACCCCCCCGCCGATGGCAGCGGATCCCACAAGTCGTGGCCCGAGCAGGGGCGGGGGGGGGGGTAGTTAGGGAAGGACGGAGGGAGAAAGGGAAGGAAAAGGAGGGGGAGGAAGGAGGAGGAATGAAGAGAGGAGGGCGGGAAGGAGGGCGAAGCTGGAGGAAGGAGGGGCGAGGGGGAAGCGGAAGGAGAAGCAGGGCAGGAAGAAAGGAGGAGGAAGGAGGTGGATGACGGAGGACGGGGTGGGGAAAGAATGAGAAGGGCAGGAAGGAGAAAAAATCGCATCGCACGCTCCTGGAAGGATGAGAAGAGAAGAGAGTTCCCGCAGCCGTCCTCCAGCTGCGCCGCCTGCACTAGCCAGCGCACGGTGTGCGCCGCCTGCACAACTCTGATCGGGGGGCTCCCTCGGAGAAAAGCCGAGGGCACCCAGATAATGCGCAGCCCATCCCTCGCCTCAGTTCTGCCCATGGCCAGAGACTGGGGAGTGGGCCGCTCAGCCCAGCAGGGCTTCGCACGCTGCCCGCGAAGGCGCAGCACCCTCAGCCGCGCGCGAGGCCTCGTCCGCCGCCGCCCCTGCGGCCCTTGTGGCCCTTGCCGTTCCTGACAGGCGGGGCGCGCCACGACGGCACCGCCTCAGTGATGAACGGACGCCTAGCAGCCCAATCCTGGGCCAAAACCACAGCGATCGTCGTGGTCGCCTCGTGCTGCGCCCAGTTCTGATCGTCGTGGCCGAACTGTAGCGTCGGAGCCACGTGCTCTGCCATCGAGCGCTCCTCCTGTAAGACGGGCTCATGGGCCACATACGGCTGTACGTGGGCGTCGGGCAAATCCTGCTCCACCACATTCGCCTTGGAATGCTCCTCGTGCACGTGGGGCTCAGTGACCTATCTCTGCGGCCCGATCCTGAGCCAGAGACTCGTCGATAATCCTGGCGGCCTCCTGCTGCGACAAGAGCTCGTCCTCTGAGCGCTCGTCCTTTCTGCGCGCTGGCGTCGGCAACCTCTTCGGCCTTCTCCTCCGGTCGCACCGCCTGCACGAGGACCTCGGCGAGCCCCATGACTTTCTGGAGGTGCGACTCCTGCACATGGCCCTCGGACCATGCTGCTCTACCTGCTGACGTCGCCGGTGAACTCCTGCGCTGTGCAAGTGGCGCCACCGCTCCCTGCACTCGTCGGCGAGGTGAGGCGCCGAAGCCGACGGCCACGCTGAGTCTTCTTGGCGGTGCCCAGGGCCTTCGCCGAGGCGTCGGGCCCCGCGCCGAGCCCGTGGCGCGCCGAGACGTTCTGGGGCGCTGTGCACGGCCCGCCTGAGGCCTCGCCATGGACCTTGCGGAGCATGGCAGGTGCCATGCCCGCGCAGCGGGCCGCCAGCTCCGCCAGCTACTCCACCTCGCCCATCACGCGCACCTTCGGGTCCATAAGGGCGCGGACGGTTGCCGCCGTGGCCGCCGCGACAGCGTGACGCCCTCCTCCACCATGGGCCGCCGCCAAAACCGCGGCGTTCACCAGCATCGCATCCCCTGGGAGGAGCGGGACCGCCGCCATGCCGCCAGCCCCAGGCCGGCCCAGCGCGCGCGCTCGCGTGATTGGCTCGTGAACAACAATGGCTACGGTTGAGGAAGGTGGAAGAGGAGAAGGAAAGAGAGGAGGGGGAGCAGGCAGGAGGAGGAGGAGGAGGGAGGAAGGGAGGAGGGAGGGAGCAAGAAGAGGAGGAAGGAAGAAGGCAGGAAGAAGAAAGGAAGATGGAGGAGGGCAGAAAGAAAGACGGAGCAGTGAGGGCAGGAAGGAGAGTTAGAGGCTAGAGGGAGGGAGGAAGGAGGAGGGAGGAGAGGGCAGCACGAGGAGGGGGGCACCAGCGGAGGACGAAAAGCTGCAGCGCTGGGCCGAGGTGGACGTTGAAGGACGTGATGCGGTCCTCGCAGCCGAGAGCTGAGGAGGGCGCTCCCGGGCAGCATTAAAGACCTACTACAGCTACAAACACCCCCCAAGCCCCAAGCCACTTCCGATACTCCCTAGCGCTCCCGGATACTCCCAAGCGTTTCTGGGCGTTCCTTGGGAGCTTTCTCCCACGCGATTTCCAGGCGTCCCTGAGCGCATACAAGCGCTCCCCAGCCGTGTCAGAAGCTCCCAATTCCCGAGCACCCCATGGCGGTCCCGAGTGCTCCCGGGTCAATCCCAGCACATCCACCCGTTGACCTCCGCGTCCTCGTCCGAACCGCCTGTTCCCAGGCGGACATGGTCGAAGCACAGAGGGTACGGAGGGAGAGCAGCGAGGGAGTGGCGGACGCCTGGTCTGCAAAGCAAAACGGTCAAGACATCAAGAGCGACGCCTTTAACGACCCAAGCGTCCCAAATTCAACCTTGAGTCCGTCGGCAATAACTGGGCGGGCAGGATAGCGCCTTGTGCCATCAACTCCAAGAGCTCTTGCACGCAAAACCTTCGAACCGAACCGCTCAGGAAATGTTCGCCTTCTCGTCTGTGTGACTCAGACTGATACTGCTTAGCAGAACGTGCACGAGACGGGCACGTCCACTGTTGTATCCGAATCCAAGGCAAACGCCTACCCGGACGTATTTCGGCACTGTCGGCGGCCCACATCCCAGAACAATGCAAGAGCCTCAACTTAAATGCCGGCCGCAGGTGGCGGATACAAATACCTCCAACGCCACTTCCAATTCCGGGGCAGACGCCTTCCTGAGGCGCCCACCGACGCGATTTGCGGCCCAGGCCCCCGAGCAGTGCAACAGCCTCGGATGACGGACAGAAGGGGCATGCGTGCACGTGCGCACGCACGTCCGCAGGGGAACACCAACTTTTTTACTGGCGGCGCCCTGGATCCAAGCTTGCGCTCGTGGCTACGGCAGGGCTGCTGCTGTAAGAATGGGGCACTGAAGGCGGCGAGGAGTGACGGGAGGGTAGGGGAAGCGGAGAAGAGGGCCGCGGACGGCCAGGGTGCCCTCAGAGCGTGAAGCACTTCGGTGTCAGCCGGAGGGCAACATAGACACACAGTATGCTTCGCATATGATGTGCTTACGCAGGTATTCCACCGTGCAGATGACCCGAAAGTTATAAAACACGCCACCGCTAGGCATTGACCTCGGAGCGTCGGGCGCGTTTCCAATATCTTGGTTCTGGTGCGCGGTAGTCCATCCGTCCACGAGGAGAAGAGAAGGAGAGGAAACGGAGGGAGGAAGAAGGGACAGGAAAAAGAGGGAGAGAGTGGAGGGGCGGGAGGAAGTGGAGGCAGTGTGAAAGGAATGAGTAGGTTTAAAGTATCAGCCAGCACAGACTCCCAACAAATCATAAGACTGAAAAAAAGCGAACTGGAATGGACAGAGGTAGACTGGACTGATGGCCGACGATAATCATTACAAATCCGAAGAACGACGTCTCAAGGACTGGTCTGGCTATTCGTACCGACTCGCCCCCGGTCGGGAGAGCTCGAGGAGATGAGGGAGGGGGAAAGCCAAGCTAGGTGCGCTCGCGTCCTATCCGACGTCCTGACGTCCTACCCCATCCCTCCCATTCTCACCATGGCGTAGATCCCCTCTCCATTCGCACAGTCGGATGTCGAGCAGTACAATGATCCTTGGAGGGTGCGTGATGCATCGTAGAGCACGGCATGGCAGGGCATACAAGAGCACGGCAGAGCGTATTATGTCATAGCATGGCGTGGCGTTGCAAAAAACATTGCATCACAAAGCATTGCATCGCACGTAATGGCATCGCACAACGGCACAGAACATAACATGGCATAGCATGGCGTTGAAGATCAAAGCGTAGCATTACATAGCATGGCGTGGCACTGCGTAGTCAAGCAACGCATATCCTAGCATTGCAGCTGAAGGCATGGCATCGTACATGCCGTGGCACGGCACCGGAAATAATGAGGCCAGCGCTGCAGTGGGAGCGCGATTCGGAACGAGCGTGAGCGCGGCAATGAGGCCAGCGCTGCAGCCGGAGCACGATTCGGAACGAGCGGAAGCGCGGCAATGAGGCTAGCGCTGCAGCGGGAGCACGATTCGGAACGAGCGGAAGCCCGAAAATGAGGCCAGCGCCTGTGGGAGCAACATCATGAACAACAACAAAAAAAAACGAAAACTAAACTCCCGGGAATCCGTGTAAAAAAATACACGGAGGGGGGCCGAACATCTTCCGGACGTCATCAGGGGACAGAGGAGTGGTATTCATGTTGAATAGTTGTAGAAGGGAG